ATCTTCAGGTTGGCTGCAAGTGTCTTTTCTCATGGGCACTTTTTAAATTTTAATTTTTTAATCTCCTTGGAGACATCTTTAGCCCATGAACCAGTTATTTGCAAATGTACTGTAAGATGTCCCAGCATTCGGAGCTCCCTGTTATTTTCCTGTTGCTAAAGGGGGAATTACAACTGCAGTTCTGGCAGGTTTGCTGAGGCTTTTTTAAGGCCTAGACTTGAAAAGGGTGTTCCACATACCCAGTCACCTCCTTCTGTTTGGTGGCCACCGGGTCCTTCTATATCCTCGCTCTTCTACGTGTTATTGAGACTATCACAGCCTCAGATCCTCACTGGAGATCTTCAGGTCTATTAGTCTTAACTTCACAAGTTTTCACAGCTGAGGTGCCTGGTGTCTGCACACTTCAGACAGCTACAGTTTCTTAGTGGTCTGTCTGCATCACACAGTGCTCCTCTCTGTCTTCAGAGACCTTTGACCTCAAGACGCCGACACTGCCAGCACAGCCACTCTTATTTTCTTCTGAGGAAGGCTTGCCTGTGTCTTTCCCGTACTTCCACCTTAATCTATCTACATCATTGTATCTGAAATGAACTTCTTATACACATCATAGAGTTGAGTTACATTTTTAATCCACTCTTATCATGTTTTCTTAACCAATATAATTAGATTATTTATACTTAGTGTAATTAGTGATGTGTTTGAGCTTACATTTGTATGAGTTTTAAAGCTTGTTCTGAGGCTTCCTTGGTTTCACTTCTGCATTAATATGAATTACTGGGGTTTTTAGAATCCACTTCAGGCTGGATGTGGCGGTGCATGCCTGTAATCTCAGCATTCAAGAGGCTAAGCTTAGAGAAGCACCAGTTCAAGGTCCTTTGGGCTACACAGCACGACTCTGTCTCCCACAACGTACACACATACTTTGTCTACAGAGCTTTGAGTGGCAGCCCCTGTTATTATAGAATGCATGCGTATGTAATTCACATACACGCACTGCCACCCTCAGTGGTGGCTGGAGCCGCCGCTGCAGCAGGCTGCGGGGAGGCTTCTCTCTCCCAACCTTCTCCAGCCTCCCTTACTTACACGCTGTCTTTAATGCTGTTTCCACACATCTAAAACTACCTCAGGGCTAGAAAGATGCTTCAGCCGTTAGTCGAGGCTCACAACCAAAAACCATAACACTCCTGACTGCAGCTCTTACTTCAGCCATAAAACGGGCTTTGGGAAACAGGCAAGCTCGTCTGACTCCTGGTCTGTGCTAAGGCTCCTGTTTTTACATTTCCCTTCCGCTGGGAAAGCTTATTCCTATGCCAAGTTGGCTAGTGGCCTGGCCTTTTGCCTTTAGTCTGATAATGCCCACCCTTTCCCTCATTCTTTCTTTTAATGAGGCCAGGTCCCACTGTGTAGCCTGGCTGACCAGGAACTCACCATGTAGACCAGGCTGGACTCAAACTCCTCGGTCCACCTGCCTCTGCCTCAGGCACCGAGATCAAAGGTGCGCGCCACCACCGTGCCTTCTCCCTTCATCCTGGAAAGGTATTTTCTCCTTCCTTTAGCATCTATGTCCCGCGGAGTCCTTGTGTCCTTTCTATCACTTTGCTTTCTAAGGTCATTTGGACTAACCTGTGCCTGTGGGGAAATGTTTCTCTCCTCCTTGCACTTGTTTTCCTAACCACTAGTTTTTAGAAGTTGGCTGTGGTGGCTCTCCAGTGAATCTCTTCGCTTCTGCCTTGTTTAGGGCTCACTGAACTCCTGACCTTACAGGTTTATGTCAGACATTACCTGTTCAGACTTTCTCTTTACCTAGAAGCCAGATGACACAGCACCAGTTCCTGAGCCAGTCTCCAGGGCTTCTCGGTCTCACTGTGCTCGTTTTCCCTGGGTCTGTCCTCCCTCCATGCCTCGACATCTCTGTCTCTGTGGGGACTGAAGGATGCTGCCTGTGATCCTAGAGCATCCGCTCTCCGCCCGCCCTGGCTAGACTTCTCTGCATTTGCTTTTTGTGTTTGCAAGCACTTGCTGGCCACTTTATGATGACTATTTCAAAGCCTCGCTTCAGTGCTGATCACATTTCTCACTCAAGTCAGACCCTGCTTGCTCTCGTATGACAAGTGGCTTTCTGTGGACTCTGGACAGCACAGCACAGTGCTACTAACCTAGAAGGCACAGCAGGCCTTTGCCAATGGGAGTGGAAACAGAGCCTGACTCTCTGTGGCTTGAGCCTCCTGGGGTCGAGCTGTTTTCTCAGGGGGAGGGGAGAAGAAGGAGATTACAACTAACTGGGAGTTCCACTGCATACTACCCCACCCCCGCAGTGAACCCCAATGCCCTGGTTTGCCAGCATGGATTTATTCCAGCGTAACCAAGGCCCCTCCTTCCCCCAGGTTTAAACAAGTGTGACAGGGATCCTGCCCCAAATCCCTGAAGCCTACACATGATTTTATCAGGTGAAATGCCCCTTTCTCCATCCAATCTTCCTACAATAGGACACTGAAGGCCTTTACCAACCCAGTCATTTCTACAGCAGAATGGGCACCTGCTTATCTATACTCTGTGGGCCCTTGGGCTTAAATTCCTTGTACATAAAGGATTGTACAATTGCAGCTAAGAAACAGAAGATCGCTTCCCTCTGCTGGAACACTAAGCCAACAAAGAGCGGTGCTTGGCGGCCCTCCGGGTAGGCAGACACTCAACAGTGTGACACTGCAGAACGGCTCGAGGCGGCAGTCTCACACTAGGCCAGTAGGTGTCACTCTACGATAGATTTTAAATTCTTTCCAGCTCACTCTTGAACAACCGCACTGAGAGCCACAGTGTGCTAGGCATAATTCTAGGCACAAAGAACCTAGAATTGGTGAGAAGTAAAACCGCACACCACTGTTCTCACAAAGTCTTCGGGGTAGACACAACAATATTATGTTATTTGCTTTCTAGACAGAGATTATAAAATGTATTTCCTAATTAAATTTTATTCAAAACTTGCTAAGTTAATAAACAAGATAATTCACAATTAGCAAACACTGAAATGCAATAGAAGCAGAGTGACTGCTGTCCCATATCTACAGTGCTGTGCCTGTGTGTTTTCTAGACTGAATTTATTCAGCTCCTCTCTCCCAAAGCCCAAGTTTCTAAAACCTGAACTTGAGCTGTTCTTTAGTACAATGAAAAGGAATTTACCTTTGTTATGTTGTGCAGTTAGTTCAACTGGCCTGCCCTTAGGGACCTTTAGGGTCCTGACAACATCCTATGTCAGTACCTGTGTCCTATGATGCCATTTGTCTCTACTCCCCTCACACCTCCCCTTTTTCCTCTCTCCTCTCCTCTCTCTCCCTGTTCTCTCCCCTCTCTCTATTAAGGCATCCCCTCCCCCACCATGTCTGTCTGTCTGACTCTCTCTCCCCCTTCCCTCTCTCTCTCCATCTATATCTAATAAATATCTTTGATACCAGATCTGTCGTAGGTGCAGTGTATTTTTCAATGTCTCCTAACAACCTTGAACAATGATCTAAATTTTAAAATCCACATGCTCATGTCTTATTTGCAGACATGATGTTATGATCTTCAAGACTATCTGCTAAGCTGATTTCCAGACACAGAGCTCCTTCTCACCACTTACAAACTAGCATCTGAGAGACACTGGTTAATGAGACAGACAGCGATGGACTGTGCCTCAAATAGAAAAGCAGGAATTCCTCCATTGCCAACAGTCTGCTGTGGGGCTCCTATCTATTAACCAGAACTGTAGTATGACTTGGGGCTCAAAGCACAACAATGAGTAGTCCCTGAGTCATAAGACACGAGTCTAAGAGCTAATCACATGGCACACGAAGGAAGGCGACACGGCTGCACGACGATCAAAGCGCCTGCATCCACTCTTTGCATGCAGCCAAGGCTCCTCTCAAACACAAACAGCACAGGAACACCACAGACTCGGAACAAAACACAAACCCTACTGCACGAAATTCTTTAAGCTCAGACTTCATTCATACTGCGTGTCTGACAATGATGCAAGACTAAAACACCAGCAGCTTCCTGGAGCTCTGACTCGATGTTCGGACGTCACTGTGGGCGCCTGCCCAGACTTCACCAGTGGCACTGCAGACTGCTCAAGGGCAACAGGGACTCACACAAAGCGCTTCAGGAGGCAGGTGGCATTCGATGCACTCAGGCAAACAACGCTGAGGTGTGTCTGAACAATGCCGAGTGGGTAAGAGGTGGAGATTCACCTATGCCAACTTTAAACACAGCCTTTTCTTTGATGCTGAAATGGTAGAACAATTTGATATTTCCAGAGCGTGCAATTGACAGGCTTGGTGTTGATAAGAATTTGTCATGACTGGCATGTCACTACGCTCTGTGTCATGTTGGTTGGGGTGTAAAGGGGGCTCAGTGCCCTGAGAAAGCAGTTTTTGGAATCAACCAAGTTCAGGGTTTGCACTCAGCACTCACACAAATTGAGCATGTCACTTCCTGGCAAGTTAATTATTCCAGATGATTTTGTATCACCAAACATTTTGCATTTCCCACCAAAATGCAAACAATGGGATTGTAAGAAGGATTCCAAAAACCACTTTATACAAATGCCTAGTATGCGGTGTGGGCCCACAGTACGTGCTCATAAATGACAGTAACCAGGAATTACATCTTTCTTTCTCACCAAAAAGTGAGTGTTTCAGTTAAGGTTGAACAGCTGCAAATTCACAAATTAAGTGGCACAGAGTGCATCTCCCTATCACCATACTTTAGAAAATTAAAACCCCTTACTCAACTGAATGCCAACAAATACACACCTTCTCCTTGGCACAGATGTATTTTGCATGACCTTATGTGAATTGCTAAGATAAAAGCGTTCCCTCTGCTGCTTTGTTATTTTAAAGTGCAGATGCATTTGAGTCATTTCCCCTTTTGTTTCGTATCCTTAAGATCCCAAGCTTCAAAGACAGAATGTCAGCATGCAGTCGATTTCTGACTGAAGCCTAGAAGAGGCACTGAAGAGTTACCTTGTCAATCACCCCAAGGACTCTGAAGGCCTTCAGCTCCTCGGCAGGGCTCCTTAGGTTCCAGGGGGGCCTTGAACTTCGTGGTCCTGGAGGCTAATGGAGGATATCAAAGATGACACATCAATGAGGGAGGTACTTGAAGGAAGACTGCCTACTGAAGCGAACGCCAGGCCAAAGAAAACGAAATTCATCATAAATCAGAGAAGGGAAAGATAAAAGGAAAAGTTACTGTTTGTCCGTAATGTAAAATAAAAAATCAAAATAAAGAAAATCAAAAAGAAAAAGCAAGACAGAAGCACAAGTAAATAAGTCATAGCACTGAAAACAGGTTTTTAAAAAGAAGTTTTAATGGGCTGATACTGTTTTTAGAGCTATCACAAAGATGGCTAGCCATCAGGTAAGCGGGCCGAAGTCACTGACAGCCTTGAATTTACCCAGACTGACTAAATGTAATTTTGAAAGAAAACAAAGAAAAAAACCTTAAAACAACAGTGCTCTAGTGTTTCTTTATAAAATAAAGCATGCACTTAGATGCTTAAATAGATAACATGTTTTTAAAAGAATTGGCAGATTCAACCTCAACCAGAAAAATTACCAAACAATGGTGAAAAAAAAATAAATCCCCAATCAACATAACTGGTAATTATTAGAACAGAGGTTGGGGTGATTTATGAGAAAAAGAGATTTTCTTCAAATATTTGAAAATCTGTGATGTGGAAAACAGTCTATTAACTACAAAAAGGAGCAATGACTGAGAAAAGGCTGCCTGAGTGGCACAGTTAAAAACAGCGTTAGCTTCCAAAGCCCACACTTAGCTTTTCCCTGGCAGCCGACTGAGCCCTAGATGAGAAGGACTCACAACACCTCCAGTTGGCGTTTATGTCCAGAAAGCATTTCTGTAACTCCTGCTCACAGTAGACAAGGCCCCGGTACACAGGACAGAAGGCCTTATCAACAAGCTAGACTAGAACACAGAGGGGCCAGCCTGGGAGGGCTTCCTGAGCCACCCTGTGCCCACCAGCATGGCCAGACAGGGAGGAACTCCACCCTGGCCACCTGGGATGGGAGGGTTTGGAGAGGGCGCTGCGCAGCCCCTGAGACACCATCTGTCCCTAGACCTGGAGCTCGAGATTGGCTAGAGTGGCTGGTTAGCACGCTCACAGATCGTGAAGCCTCTGCCCTGCCTCCCCTGTGCTCGGATTATGGCACGCGCTGCCATGCTCAGCAGTTCACATGGGGCCAGGATCTAAGGTCCTCATGCTGTACCAACCGAACCATCCATAGCCCCAGCTTTAATGTTTTAGAGATACTTTAACTTGAGAAAATATCTCCATCGCACTAGATAATGATCTTTTTGAAATGATACAATTTCTTAGATGTGTTTTAACAAATGTTATTTGATCCCCTGTTTTATTAGGAGCTATACTAGATGTCAGAAAACAGATGCATCGCTGCCTCCTTAAAAGCTCAGCAGCTAAGGAGAGCGTTTAGTGCATGCAAATCTGCATCAAGACAACAGTGTGCCACATGGGAGCAACTACAAAAACAGCCTCTTGTACAGAACTTCCACTGTACCGCTGTGTCTGCACCTCCCGTCACCTCACTGTGCCACACTCACAGGAAGTTGCTCTAATACTCTCCATTCACTCGTAGGCAAAGGGAGACTCACAATGGCGAATCTCTCCCATCACACAGACAGACAGAAAAGTCCTACACAGACCTCACCTCCCTGCCCTACTGCTTTCGGTCTTTCTACTATATGGCACACAGACAAATGCACATTTGCACCTCACCACCACCGCCTCGTGTGCGCGCGCACACACACACACACACACACACACACACACACGCATGCACACACGCATGCACACAAGGAAGGCCTGCTTGCAATTTTAGCAAAAGAGCTACCAGGGGAAAGTGATATTTTATTCATTACATCTGACATTTAATACACCAAATACCACAACATGGCGCCTCTGGGTTCTGTTGATTCTTCTCAGTCGCTGCTCACTGGTCTCTCAGATTCCAAAGAGTTTACTCCCCCTATTCCAACAGCAAGGAAGGAACTACAGAAATCTCTGCTGCACCACTGTGCATGGTGACAGACAGGATGTGCCGTGCTTTAGACTGTGGATGGCAGCAGTGCCCTTATGACGATGGCTTGGTCCCAGCTCAGCAGTATTCCAAAGGGAGGCCTCTGGGAGGTGGCTGGGAATTGATGGCTCTGACCTCATGAGCGAATCCACTTATGTATTCACAGCTTAAAAGACTATGGTTGTTAATGGGACTTAGGAAGTGGGCCTAAGCAGAGAACAGCAGGTCACTGGAGACTTGCCTCCCACACCCACACTCTACCGCAGACCCTCAGTCATTACCTATGCTTTGCCATAGACTAGAAACAACAGAGCCAGTGACCCAGTCTGAAACCACGAGCCAAAACAAATCCTTCCACCTTTTCCACAGCAACTAAAAAGCCAACTAACACAATATAAATCCACAAGAGGCATGACTGGTCTGACCCAGTGAGGGAAGCGCTCAAAGCGGAAGGCAAGCAAACAAAGCCCATACTTAGGGTTGGTCTCCACAGCCCCTGAAGGCCAAGAACATGTGCACTATCCCCCAGGCGGGGAGAGCGGTGTCCTGTGGAGAACAGCGAACTGAGTGCTGATGGGAAGAGCATTGCTTGGTGCTGACGAGAAACTGACACAAAACTTCTCTTTATTCTGTAAACCACTTAGAATCTTAAGATCAGAGACAGAGCACACCAAGGTTATGAAACAAAGGTATTTTTTAAACCTTGTTTCATTGCCCTTTGTGAAAAGGATAGTCAGTTTTCTGTGGCCCTGGTCAGTCTAACACACCTCATTTCATGGGCAGCACATTTGATGGGTCAGAAAGTTGGAAGACAGTGGAAGAGAAAGTAGGATGAATCTGGGAGAAGTGAGGACGAATATGATCAAAACATATTCCATGTACATGCAAAATATTCAAGGAATAATGTTATTTCTTATATGCAGTGGCATTCAAATTATGTATAACTGCACAGATCTACCCTGTCTTCAGACAGCAAAAGGAAACATAATCCACAGTTCTATGAACAGAAAGAGGCTGCAGAGACTAAATCCAGATCTCGGGTTCTTTTCTCTTTCTAACAGGAGACTGAGAAGCAGAGAGCTGAGCTGTCTGTGATGACAAACGCTGGAACAGGACTGGCCTGTAACTACATCAAGGTGAGGCAGAGCATGCCTGTAATCCCAGCACTCAGGGTGCTGATTCAGGAGGGTCTCCATGAAGGCTAGGCCAGCCAGGGCTTCACAAGGACCTTATCCCAAAATGAGTGAAATAATGAGCTCTTACTTGTAAGAAAATATTACCAACAGTGGTAAGAGCAGCATGCTGTTCCAAAGCAGCAGGAAACGACTTCCTGGCAACAGAGCTGATGCCCTTGATGTAAAAAGTGACTGTTTCTCTCATGTGTAAGGGCTACTGTCATAGATGATGACAAGAAAGAATGGTTAGGTTCATCCATACCAGGATGAAACAGACAAGAAGAGAGAAGAGACAAGAAGGGCTGATGACCCAACAGAAACGGCAAGATCACGCTGCTCATCAGCCAAGGCCAGGGAAGCTGGCTGCACAGCTCCCTGCAATGCTCCCCACAGCCAGGACCTGTGGTCTGCAGTTAGCAACAGCTAGAATCTGGTTGCCATTCTGCTCTCTAAAAGGGTAGTGAGGGCTCCCTGGTTTCTCCTTTGAGTTTTTTTAAGTTACCAGTTGACCTATCCAAGGCCCCCTTCATTTAGTCAGTGTTCTCACTACACAGCCTCCACCTACCTGTGGGCACAGCACTACTCAAACTATAGTGTACGTGCACACAGCTTGAGGACCTATCAAAGTGGAAAATACGATGCAGGAGGTCTGAGGTGGGCACCCAAGATTCAGTGCTTCCAACAAGCTTCCTGGTGGGACTGCTGCACCAGCCACACTCAGAGTGGGGTGAGCAGCTCCTCCAAACTCCTGAGCAGGAGTCGTTAACATCAGGAAGGAAAAGCAAGGGAAGCAAGAAGCCAGACTCTGGCTGAGGACAGCAGTAGATCTGACAAACACTGCCTTGGGGAGGACAGGAGGCCAGCTGGGTTATGCAGCAAGACTGTCTCAAAAGAGGAATCCACACTCAGAACTTGAGCATCCAGGGACCAGCGGCACGGAGTCTGTGACCTCACGCTCTTCTGCGGAATCCTAGCTTCACCAACACTTCCTGGGCAGATGGCTAGCTCCACCACTCTCAGCCTCCCTTAGACGGCTGGCACACCTGCCACTGAGCCACCTGCTGCTGAGCCCCATGCCCCATGTCACCTTTCTCACTGAGTTTCAACATCTTCTAAAGACACCTGGCCAATCAGCCAGCAGCAGCAGCAGCAGCAAACACTGCTGTGCTGTCAATGCTGGCATGGCAGCTAGGCTCAAAATCTACAGGACGCAGAAGATTCTATATGGTGGCATTCACTCAGGATGACTACAGGATAGAATGGTATTTATGTGTTTTATGTCCTGCATTTCAATAATTTACTGTCCTTTCTCTACATTTAATTGATTTCAAAATTTTTTTAGACAAAAATGCTGTTTTAAATCTTTCACAATTTGGGAAGAAAGAAGAAAGAAAGAAAGAAAGAAAGAAAGAAAGAAAGAAAGAAAGAAAGAAAGAAAGAAAGAAAGAAAGAAAGAGAGAGAGAGAGAGAAAGAAAGAAAGAAAGAAAGAAAGAAAGAAAGAAAGAAAGAAAGAAAAGAAGAAGAAGGAAGGAAGGAAGGGAGAGAGAGAGAGAAAGGAAGAGAGAGAAAGAGAGAAAGAGAGAAAGAGGAAGAAAGAAAGAAAAAGAGAAGAGAGAGAAAGAAGGAAGGAAGGAGGGAGGGAAGGAAGAAAGGAGGGAGGGAAGGAAGGAAAGAAAAAGAGAAAGAAAGAAAGAGAGAGAGAGAAAGCAAGCAGCCTGGCTGCTGAAGTCTGAATCCCACCTTCATCCCACCTGTCCAGTTTTCTTAGAACCTTTCATGACACATGAAGTAAAGCTGAGAGAGTGTTCTGCTGATTGCAAACATTTGTTTGCAAAGGATTTGAATCCAAATAATCAAATAATTACACCCAAGAGGCTCCAAGGCTCCAAAGTTCAATAAAGCAAAGAGAAGGCTGAGGCAGAGAGAGCAGTCGCTGCCAAGGGGGGAAGATGGAGCGCAGCAACAGTGCTGAAGCCCCACAGGATCCCTTTATCTCCTGAAGCCTTGAAGAGATGTTTGCAAGAGGAGTCACTGGAGAAGTCACATCTGCTCTACACAGCATCAAAGAGAAGCGGCTGAGGCCCTCACACCATCCTCACCATGTTGGTTCAAATTCACATGCAAAGACGGTTAGAGAAGAGAAACAAGGGGCTGGAGAGATGGCTCCGTGTTTAAGAGCACTGTCTGCTCCTCCAAAGGACTAGAGTTCAATTCCCAGCACCCACATGGCAGCTCACAACTGTCTGAATGCTGATTCTAAGGGATCTGACACCTTCACACTAATGCACATAAATAATTTAAATAAAATTTAAAAAGAAGAGGAAGAGAAACAATGGGTTCACCAAGCTAGTCTCAAGAAAACAGGCAATCCTGCTCCTGGCCAGTATGGAGACAGGCTTCACAGGAAAACACACACATGGAAAATGAAAAGCAAATGTTTACCATCAAGAAAAACATCCTATCTACCCTCTCATGCACAAACGAACCAACCACACATCACAAGAATCAGTGGTCATCCCCTTTACCCTTTGGGAATACCTCCCCGCTAGCCTGCCTGCTCTGGGTAGTCTCTAAGCTTCGCCTGCTGAGCTCCAGAGGCCTGGCCGGCCGTGCTGCAAGGCTCCGTGGGGCTCCCATGTGTGTCTGGCTGGGTACATCAAGTCGTAAGGACACTGAATGGCTGTGTTGCTCTAGACCAGCTTTGTTCGCACAGCAAACACGTTATGCTTAATGAGAGGTTCCGACTCGACCAGAGTGGTTGTGCTCTCCAGGTCAGGAACTACCCAGAAGGCCTTGTGCTTGTTTGCTATGACCCCACGTCGTAATATGTAAAGAATGTTGCAAACCATTACAGCCAGTATGGACTAATGAAGTAAAAATTACAAGAGTAAGTCCCCACTGCATGGAAGGCCGGCATGCTGACCAGGGGTGCACAGGAAGGGAGAAGGCAGCACAGGTGGCGGTCGGGCTAACTGCTGGGGGTTAAGACATCGTGCGCTCCAGCCTCCATGTGGCGCTGTGCTCACGGAAGCTCGTGCTCTCATTATTGTCCCCAAAGCAAAATGGAGAATGAAGACACATACCCTGAGGGACAGAAGCTTCGTATCCACAGTGAATAGTTTCCTTCCTTAGGAACTGTCCAGCAGAGGCCCACGACCGCCTCATCTTCCAGATCAGTGCCACCAAGCTACAACCTGAGGTCACTCCCTGGAACCATGTGGGGAGAACCTACACGCACTGTAAGCACACACACAGACACACACACAGACACACACGGACACACATGCACGCACACTTGCGCTCACACAGTCACACACTAAAAAATAAAACTTTTATAAAAATGTTTTTGTCTCTTTCCTGGCTTAGGTGACAGGCTGTGACACCAAGCTCCCTGCCTCCTGGATTAACTAGGGAAATAAACATTTCCCCCACTACAGAAAACCGTAGCAATAAGCTAGAGCAGAAAAGCTGCTCCGGAACGGGCCAGACTCGGCCAGACCGGACCTGGCCGCTACAGCCAGTCATATCTCTGAAGCCTCGGGCAACGCGGGCAGCGCTGGGGGACAGACAGCCGAACCTTCACCACAGCTTGGGCCTCAGCGGCTGCGGCAAACGCGCGCACCCGAGGGCAGGTTCAGCCCGCTGACAAAGCTGCACAGCCGTGCACGAGAGCTGCGGCCTCCGAGGAGCAAGAGCGCCGCGCAGCTGTGGGCTGGGATCACAGGGAGTGTGTGGCCTGCACTGTCCGCCCGGCGGCAAGCCTGTGACCAGCCGCGGGAGGTTCGGCTGCGGAAGGAAGCGCCCTGCGGGCAGCGCCGCGCACGCGCAGATCCAGAACCGACAGACAGAGAAGGCCGGGCCCAGCCTCCCCGCTGCCCCCGGGGCCACCAGCCGCTCACACTGAGCCACCCGGTCTTCCTTTAACTCTGCCCGGGGCACGGGTGGGCGGAGACGAGGAAGGCAGGCCTCGCTTCCTCTGCCGTGGGTCTGACGATGACTCAAGCGAAGGACGGGAACGTTCCACGGAGCACGGGCCTCAGCCGTCCTCGCTGGGAAAGGCTGGGACAGGAGCGGGCGGCGCGGAGGGGCGGCCGCGGGCGGGGCCTACCTGGGGTCCGGCGGGCAGCCGCGGCGAGGCCCGCACGATGCTCTCGGCGCGCAGGAGGTACTCCGCCGTGCGCCGCTTCACCGCCTCCCGGCGCGTGGGGCTCGACTCCCCTGAGGGGACAGAGAGGAGGTCTGCTTACCAGGGGGCGTGGGCCCGGTTCACCCCACGAGCCGCCCCCGCTTCGTCACTTCGCTGACTGTGAAGAGAAGTCAAACTCACAAAGGGCTTCGGCCTCGCCACGGACACACGAGAGCGCGCGGAAAGCTCTGGGTGAGAGGCGAGCCCTGGCTCAGGCAGCATCCAGTTTCCAACCAGAAGCAAACGCAGCTCAGTAAGCAGGGCCTGGGCCACAGGCCACACAAACGGCCGGCCGAGCCGAGAACAGAACCGAATTAAAATCACACTGAGTTGTGTGCGCTTCATGGGTGTGTCATAGCAGCCAGTTCTCACTCGTCTTACATGGGGAAGCAGGGACATGCCTGAAATCCCAACATCTTAAAATTACGTAAGTCTTTTAACAAATCTGGGTCTCCATTTCCTAAAAACAGCCTCGGAATTCCCAAGACCTCAAGAGCTTATTGAGCTTCTCTCCAGAATGGGAGGATGTGTATGACTAAGAAGCACCATTTCATTTAAAGATGGATAAAAGACCAAGTGCTATTCGTGTGTGTGCGTGCATGTGTGTATGCATGTGTGTTCGTGTTTATGTGCATACATGTGTGTTCAGGGCTTCTCTGGGGAGAGCTGGGGAGGAGTCTCCCTCGCTCCACAGTCATTCATCTAGCAGCATCCTCATCCTCTCGGGATGTCACTAGTGCCGTCAAGGTCTCGTGACCTTAGGTGAGCGTGGTCTTGAGTTTCCTACGGCAGCTTCCTGTCATGGACAGAGGGCATGGTCTCATAGCAGACTTTCTGGTCCTCTGGCTCAGTCTTTCTGCCCTCTCTTTCACAATATTCCTACACACACAAGCTCACACACATGCACGCAAAGGCACATCCACACACCATATACGTGAAATCAAAAGGGAAAATCACATAAATAACTGCCGCATGCCTTGGCACTGATGGCAGAACACAAATGATGGTTCTCTGGCTCTGTGCACCCAGGCTGTGGCTGGGCTCACGATTTGGGGCCGTGGTGCCTGCCCCACGCTACCCCAGCCCCACTCTTCTCCTAGATGACAGCACGCTCTAACTGAAACCGCTGTTTAGCATCTTCGGTTCACCTTGGGCTCGACCCCATTTGTTAAGCTTTGGACTTGGCTCTGTTCAGAGCCGTGAGCTTGCCCTACACACTACCTTGAAGTCCACAACAAGTTGTGGCATACATGGCTGCAGCCACATACAGTTCCAATCAGATTTTGTTATCAAATCACTGTTTTTTAAACTTTTGGCTTTTCTGCCACTTTCTAGGCAGTCTCCATAGAAACAGAGAAACAAGGACTGTGAAACCAGTGCTGAAATGGACTCCCGCTGCTGATGGGGGCCACTGCCATGGAAACTACAAGCATGGCAGAAAGGCTGGAGGGCTTCAGAATGTCCCTTCCGTATGCAGATGTGCGGTTCCCCCACCCGGCCCCTTCAAAGGCCATGGTGACTACACACAGCAGCCATGGATAAAGGCTGGGCGGAGCGCTGCTGCCCAGTGCCTCGGCGCTGGACCAGAACAGCTCTAACTCATCACGCTGTTTGTGAATGTGGTTCACACAGACAGGAGAACGACTCCCACTATTCAAGTCTGACGCTTAACCGTAGCTGTCAAACTGACTGGGTTGACTTTTTAAACACCCCAGAAAACTGATAAGCATATTTCTGGCTGTCTGTGAAGGTGCTCCCAGAAATGACCGACAGTGGGACAGAGAATTGAGATGGGGAAGAGCTGCCCTGAAGAGGCTGGGCAGGACCGCAGGAGTACTGAAAGCTTGCCCAGCTCCCTCCTTCCCCAGCAGAGGGCGCTCCCAGCCTGTGGCTCCTCCGGCCTAGGGCGCACACCCTCGGCAGCTCGCCCACAGGCTGCCCTCTCTGTGGCAGCCGTCCGGTTTATCAGACTGGCAGCTGCTGTTTTCCCAGGCTCCGCAGCCCGTAGACAGACTCTGGAGCCATAAACCAGTTAGCGTATCTCGAAGTCACATATGCAGCCCACTGCTCTCGAGGGCTTCTGGGGACCATGAAAAGCACAGCCATTGTCCTGTCAAAAGTTCAAGTGTCTCCTAAAAGTTGAGTTCGATATAAAAGGATGATTTACAGAACACATGCCCTCTGTACGCTAGACTACCAAACTCTGCAAGAGGCAGGACCCCTGGGCACCGTCCTCCAGTCACATGCCCCTGATAAAAAGCTATTCTTGCTCAGGCACTAAGATCAACAATCAAAAACTGGGACCTCAAAAAACTGAAAAACTGCTGCAAGGCAAAGGACACTGTCAAAAGGACAAAACAGCAATCTTTTTACAGAATGGGAAAGATCTTCACCAATCCCACATCCAACAGAGGACTAATATCCCAAACATAGAGAACTCATGAAATTAAACACCAACAAACCAAATAACACAATTAAAAATTGTGTTAAACAGAGAATTCTCAACAGAAGAATACTGAATGGCAGAGAAGCACTTAAAGAAATGCTCAACGTCCTTAGTCATCAGGAAAATGCAAATCAAAATGTCTCTGAGATTCCATCTTACACCCATTAGAACGGCTAAGATAAAAAACTCCAGTGACAATACATGCTGGAGAGGATGTAGAGAAAGAGGAACACTCCTCCACTGCTGGAGTGCAAACTTGCACAACCACTTTGGAAATCAACTTGGTGCTTTCTCAGACAATTGGGAATGGTGCTACCTCAGATCCAGCTATGCCACTCCTGGGCACACCCAAAAGATGCTCCACCACACCACAAGGACACCTGCTCCACTACGTTCATAGCAGCTTTATCTGTAAGAGCCAGAAACTGGAAACAACCCAGATGGCCTTCAACTGAATGGATTCCGATCCACTCTCCTTCATCCCTAAACAGAAGAAAAGCTGAATCCAGGACTAGCCAGCTCAGACACCTCGTCTCAGAAGACGGGTGTCTGTGTGTGTGCACCTCAGCGGCCATTTCCTGAGACTTCCAGGGTGTTTTAGGCAGATTTCCCTACATGCTCACACGCGACCCCCACACTAGACTCTGTGAGCTCTCGTCCTCTGCCCCAACAGGGCCGCACAGTGGCCTCTCGCTTCCCTGGGCTTTATCGCTCCAGCAAGGACATCAGACCAACCTATGGGTACTGCATTGAGTTTTGTTTGTTGCTTTTTCTTGCTTTTTCTTTTGTTTTTGTTTTACAACTGGGTCACATAAAAGAATGTACCTATTTAAGATGGCCTTGGTGGCTACAGTTTTTAAGTGCTGATTGACTGTATTTAATGATGCTTTGTTCTTCTCAGGTATAGCCTACCATTTCCACCTTATGTTAAGTGTTCTCAAAACAAAAGGCGACCTTGAAAGAAGGAATGATTCATGCAGCTGCGCGTCTTGCAGGAGGTGAAGCCCACAGCACTCAGAGGGAACAGAGCCGGTCAGTTCGGGAGTCTGCCTTGTATTTGCATTGAGCCAACTCTCTCCCAATGCTGCTCTCAAAACCAGTGGCTAGGAGACCCCCAGGAGAGAAAAGTCACCAAAAACAGTTAAAGTCCTAAAGTGCTCACTGCTTCCGCTTCCCGGGCTCCGGTGTGCAAGGAAGCCAGGCCCAGCTGACCCTGGGCTAGCCCCACTTGCCACTCCAAGCCTCAGCTCTGTCTCTCTGCTCTTTACCTTCTCTTTATTCTTACAATTTTAAAAGGGAATAACCAAAACATTTTATTTCTTTCGAAGCATCATTGCTGGCCACTGTAGAATCCCACACCTTTAATCCCCACACTCAAGACAGGAAGGCAGGTGAATTCTGTGAGTTCAAGGCCAGCTGGGTTGGCTTTTTTATGTGATTTGAAAGAGGGTCTCACAGGCCATGCTGACCTATGACCTTCTTCCCAAGTCCTGGTATTGCAAATGTGTACCACCATGCCCCGCTCTTGTTTTTGTTTGTTTTTAAAACCAGGTCTTGCAGTGCTCTGGAGCAGAGGAACAGGGCGAGCCTGAGTACTGAGACCCTAAAGCAATGCTGAGCCGTTTTCTAGACCCATGCTACCTGGAACTGGCCAAGAATTGGATCCCCACAGCCAGCATGTAAGGCACTGTGGGTGCCATGGGGCTAGTGTGGGCCCCAGACTGGCGGTTGATCCTGGACTGGGTGCCTTACATCAGTGGCAACTTTAAGAAGGCGGATTAGACAGCCCCTTCCTCTCAACAGAGGCCTCAGTGGTGCCACACCCTGCTGCCTCAGAAACAGCCCTGTGGAGGATGCCAAGGAAGCCTCCTTGCTCCTGAGAGCTTCTGCACCCATGGACACTGCGGCTACCATGATGGGTGTGCCATTAAACCTTGTTCATACATCCGACAACAAAATAAAAAATAAATATAGAAATAAAACCAGCTCTTGCTGTGTGACCTCATGCCTCAGCTCAGAGTGCTGGCACCTTGCATCCAGACCCAAATGCTAACGTCACAGGCATGTGCTACTGCACCTCACGGAAAGCTGGCACTGGGCTGGTCCTGATCTACCCATTTGTCTCAGCGCTAAGACTGAGCCCAGGGCCTTGAGTGTGTCACAAGGCCCCACCACTGAGCTATAGCCCCACCTCTAAGAAAACAAAACAAAACAAATCTTGCGATTCCTGACTTTCTAATGTTGTTCTCAAGTCAAATGGCTTTTAAAGGATGGGGACAAACATTAAAGGCCCTGCACATGGCACCAACTCTGATCCTAACCCTCAGGAGGCCGAGGCAGGTGAATTAGTGGTGTGACATCTAGAGCCAGAGAAGACAGACAGACAGACAGACCAAGTAAGATAGGTGGCTAACAGGTGATTCTGTCAAAAAAAGAGAAGAGACTCCAAAGGAAGGAAGCACTGGTAAGAGCCTGCAGCAAATCTGCCGACTTAGTGTGACCCCTGAGCCCCACGGGAAGGAGGAGAGGACCTCGACCAGCAAGGAGCTCTCTGACTCCCACAGAGTGCCTGCTCACACCACATAC